GACAAGAACCAGTAGGTCGGCTTTCATGGTTTTTCATTAATAGTCCATTATGTTGCTCGGCTACAAAAAGATGTGAAATAAGTTCAGAATACTTTTTAAATCCCATCTCTCGATATTGCTGCTGCAGGAGCATATTCGAGGCATGAAAAGTGGTGAAAGTTTTCTCCAACATATCATGATCAGTAATATTATCACCACATAGTTTCAATTGGGAAATAATTCTGNAAAAGATTTGATATTATTTAGAAAAAGAAAGTTCGTACCTCTTATACTTTCAAAGTATTTGCTCGAGATGGCAGAGTCTCGTGCTGATAACGTGTTATAAAATAAAGACTGTAAAGTAAAGACAAGTATAGAGAGAAACTGATATATTATTCAAATTTCAAACTTCTGTACATAATGAACTGAATTCTCCTCTATTTATAGAAGAAAGGAAGCTGTTGTGTAAACTGCTACTGCAAGCTGCTGTGTAAGTTGCTGCTCTAAACTGTTGTGCCAGATATAGATAATCTTCTATCATGGGTAATATTTATCCATAGCGGAGTACCGAAAGGATAAGCTTCTTCAGGAGGCTTATTTCCAATAGAGTACTAAATAGATAAATATATTTATGACGGAGTCTCATATAGATAAACTTCTTCAGGAAGCTTATTTACAACGGAGTACTAAATGAACATCCATAATATAATATATTCATAACAGATAACACAAAAAAATTATTTAGGTTTTTCATGATCTTCGCGAGAACAAATTCACTAGTTAACTAATATGAGGGCTGAATCGCAATATTGAAAAAGAAGTGAAAGAATTTAGGGCAAGTTCCAACCCGCTGTACTCGAATTCTCCTGAACAACTAATACTGTCTAGTTCCTCTTCCTATTTTCGTTAGCAGGTGTTGATTTCCTTCTCACTTTTCTTCTCGTGTTGTTTTTCTTTTATCTTCCCTTTCCTTTTGCTGCTGCTTCTTCTCTCTTCTTTTTTCTTTTTTGTTCTCGTTCTCTATAATCTGTATGCGTTACTTTCAATTGCTATTATTTCTGCTCCGCACCCATTATCTGATTAATTATTTTTCTGTTTTTACTAGTACTAGTTGTTATGTTGAGGTTCGAAATTGATTAATGTGGTATTCGTTATCACCCTTTTCAGTCCTGTGTTGTTCGTCTGTCAAGTCTGTTATTTGGAGCAAGAACACTCCATGTGTTAATTTGTGAGCCTATTTGTTTGAAGAGCTTATTGTTATTCTACAAAAAATTTGGTCATGTTTACCTGCTTCTAACATGTTAAGCTGCTGAATGTCAACTGGTTCAGGTATTTTTTTTTGTGTGTGAAAAAAATCACTAAAAGATTAAAAAATATACTAATTTCTAACCAGTAATTTCAAAAGTGTAACGGGATCAATGGTAAGAGCCTAAAGGTTGAACCAATCAAATTTAAATTCTGGATACGCCTTTAAATATGTTCTTTTTCTTAGGTTATTTAGTTTCAAGCAACTTTTTCCCTTGGGTTGCCATGAACACGTCTTATGGAGCAAATTTAGAGATATCACAGTGCATTGCTGCGTCCCCTATTTGTCGTCCAAAATCATCTATCTTTGAACCAAGATCATGTGTACCCAAGCTCCAAGGCTTCTCAAAGAAGGTATTGCCTTTATGCAAAGATCTTCATGCTAAAAGTAACAGGGAGAGAAGCATTACGTTCTCGGTTACTGCTAGTGCCAGTCAAGTTGATACTGCTTCAGATGAGCCCAGCAGTCTTACATATAAGGATGCTGGCGTGGACATTGATGCAGGGTCAGAGCTTGTGAGGAGAATAGCCAAATTGGCACCTGGAATTGGGGGATTCGGAGGTCTCTTTCCATTAGGTAATGTTTGCCATTGGCCTTCTTTATGTTGGTTAATCCTTCTACATGGCATCTTCAATTGAAAACACTGACTTATTTGTTTAGCTGAAGACATAATCAAGCTTTGCTTGTTACAAAAATCAAATGACCGTTCGACCAATAAGCTGGTGCCATGGTTAAAGGGAAATACTTTAGAAAACATGTTCTTAAGTTTTCTCGGATTTGGTTTTCTAGACTATGCTGGAAATTGGGTTGGAGGTCTTAGATCAAGCTTGTATTCTTGTAAATTTTATTACTTAGGATTGCAGTTTTTTAAAATATATTTGTGATAACGGTGGTGTCCGGCAAGGCTCCATGCATCTTGACTAATCCACCCTGAAGCTTGCTACGGCCGCAAGCACAGGTGCGGAGTAATCGTCCACATCTAGCTGGAGTAAATGGGCACACGCTAGGTGTTGTAGCTGGGATTTGGCCCTGTGACACTTGACAGTCTCTTTTTTGTCCTAGCAGCATACTGCATTTTCATCAGCTAATGTAAACAGAAGTTTTAAATGAAAAACCCAAGAGGTTAAGGATCACTAAATTTAATAAAGTCAACTTTATCAAAAAGTTGTGTATGTTCATTTTCTATCATATAATGGCATAGTTGCCTCTGTTCCCGGGGACCAAATTCTTTCCATAGGTTTATTTTGCATTTACATTGGGGATTTACTGGTGCACTTGGTAGCAAATATTTCTGCATATGGGTTCTTTACGCAGTAGGTCAGAAAGGTGGTGTAATTTTACCAAGAAGACATAATTTCAGCTGGTTGTAACTTGGCCTGCCAGTGTAACAATTATAATGATAGCAAATTTGGATTGCGAAACTAGTCGTTCTTGAATTTAGGCTACTTTCTCCTTTGTAAGGTCAGGTATCCTTGACCACTCACTGTTTCAGTATGCAACCTTCATCTCCTTCAGCGGGGATCCGATGTCAATTTCTCGGTGTCTGCAACTACTCACTGTTGCGGTAGTACCTGCCAAAGGAGCACCGTGTTACTTTTCTTTTATTTTTGCTTTACTACCAGCAAAGTGGACAAGTCCTTTTCCTTTCACCCATATTTCTCATCTAATTGAACCCTTAAGCATAAAATGACATAACCTGTTCCTTCTCAGAGAGTCAGAGTTTATTTAACAGTGGTTTGGAAATCTGATATCTAACGTCATAAAGCCAGCAGCCCGAATCGTAGGTTATATCAATTCCAAACCTGTTTTTGCTGATATCAAGTATCATAAAGTCGCAGTGCAACCTGAGCACAAACAGAGTTTGTCCAACTGAATTAATGCAGTATAGCTGTTAAGACTTGTAGGTTATGGAGTTCTAGAAACTTTACTACCTCTAATCCTTAGCTTTTTCCTGCTCAAAAGTTCCCCTTTATCTATCTATATCTTTCTATCTTTTTCATGCTTGTGTAGCCAATAGTCAAAGTATATATATATATATTTCTTTCATTATTGTTCTGTCTTTTTTATGTTGCTGCAGATCTTAAATTTTGTACATTCTTCTTTTGGTTTTTCTCTTGTACTGAACAGGGGATTCATACCTCGTGGCTGGTACTGATGGTGTGGGGACAAAGCTTAAGTTGGCATTTGAAACGGGAATTCATGATACCATTGGGATTGACCTGGTAAGTTCGATTCATCTTTTTATGTATTTGGTAGATATTTAAGAACTAATGGTGCCTTTCTTCCCAGGTTGCGATGAGTGTTAATGACATTGTCACTTCTGGAGCAAAACCTTTATTTTTCCTTGATTATTTCGCCACTAGCCGTCTTGATGTTGACCTTGCAGAGAAGGTACGTCTAGACACAAATATCTCTCAGTTCATGACATTGCTAGAGTATTATTCACACTGGCATGTTGTCTCGTTTTCCAGTAAAACAGAGTTGGCTTCTTGAATGCATGCAGGTCATAAAAGGTATTGTGGATGGTTGCCAGCAATCTGACTGTGCTCTTCTAGGGGGAGAGGTACCTGTCACTCCATTTTTTCACTAAAAGTCACTCCTAGTAATAAAATTGTTGCATCACTTGTATCCTGCAGCAGAAGCGCGATATGAATGACAAATACTGAGCTTTTTTTCCCTTTTCAAAACAAAGGAATTTCAGTATAAAGTAAATAATTTGTGCTACATTTTTTTTTGGTGATGTGTACATAGAGTCGTTGACACATTATGGATATCACTTATAAAAACTTGTCTTGTGCTATTTTTTTTGGGGGGGAGGTGGGGGGATGTTGTATACTACTGCATATATAGCTTCTCTCTCACACTCGTGAAGGTCCCAAATATTGGTTTTGTTTCATGACACAAAACTGTGTGCTGGAAGATGTGTTTTTTCGCTATTGAATTGGCAGAGCAATTGGGTCTGTGACCCAGTATATAAGAACTGAATTTGTTGAGTGAGAACAGAGAGAGACATGCTTTTATTCATTGTATGTTAAGACTTGGTAAAACATGTTTTTGGAATTAGAAACAATCTTCTATTGTTGCACCCAACTGATTTGATGTGTGTTTCAGACTGCAGAGATGCCAGATTTCTATGCCGAAGGCGAGTATGATCTCAGTGGATTTGCTGTGGGCATTGTGAAAAAGGATTCAGTTATTGATGGGAAAAGCATCAAGGTTGGAGATGTTCTTATTGGCTTACCATCTAGTGGAGTTCATTCAAATGGCTTTTCTCTTGTTAGAAGGTTAGTCAATCTTCAGACAAATTATGTACTAGCCTTGTAAAATTATTTTTCAAATATTTTTATAATTTCATTTCCCTTTGACTTTATGTACTTTTCCTGTGTAGGGTTCTGAAGCAAAGTGGCCTTTCTTTGAAAGACCAGCTTCCTGGTGAAACTATTACACTTGGCGAAGCTCTGATAGCCCCAACTGTTATATATGTTAAACAGGTTTCATCTTGGTTTCCTTCTCTTCTGCTTTATTAATAAAATTTCATTTTTTATATTGGATATGCAATAATGTGTTTTATGGATTTGGAAGTGAAGGTCCTTGATATTATAAGCAAAGGAGGGGTTAAAGGAATAGCCCACATTACTGGAGGCGGCTTCACTGACAATATCCCTCGAGTATTTCCTAAAGGCCTTGGAGCCATTATTTATGAGGACTCTTGGGCAGTTCCTCCTGTATTTAAATGGATTCAGAAGGTGAGAATCTTTAACACTTGTTTGTATGTTCTTCCACTAATTACTGATTAGTTACACTTGTATTACATGCCATATCATTGAGAAATCAATGTGCTGCAATTCTTTTTTTTTTTCCTGCCTTTAATTTTTGCAATATGGTCGTTGAAATGAAGGCGGGAAGAATAGAAGATGCTGAGATGATGCGGACTTTCAATATGGGAATTGGGATGGTCCTTGTAGTTAGTCCAGAAGCAGCTGACCGGATACTTGGGGAAGGGCAGAAGACGGGCATTGTATACCGTATTGGTGAAGTTGTGAAGGGTGATGGAGTAAGCTATAGCTGAAAACTGAGCAAATGGTCGGAGGATCTCAATGTCAGTCCGCAAAAGGTCTTCATCCACGCAGGAATGACACGACTTCTTTTCTCCTTCCTTCGACTAAGAGTTTAAGATTTTGGAGCCTTTATCATACTGTTTAAGGTTCTTTGTATCGTCTAACAACAAACGTATAAGCTCTTATAGATGTGTTCTGTTATGTGCGCTAGTGTGTCATCAATTACTTCTGTTGAACAATGAGGATGTAGACAACTTTAAGAGGTCGAGAAATGGTTTTGCATGTATTTTAGGAGATAATATTTGGTTAAATTCCATTTGGATCAAAATTTTCTTGCTATAACTCCCATATCCTTTCATTATGGGACAGTCAAAATATGTGTTTTAAAAGGCGTGGGCGTAAGGCGAGGCGTTTTACATATGCCTCAGCGAGGCGTAAGCCTCGAGGTCTTTAATTTTTTATGTTTTATAAAATAATATAATGACAGTAAATATTTATAAACATGTAAAATTGCATAAAAATTGAA